CGGGGCGGCGAGGGGGCGGGGAGGGGGGAGGGGATGTCGGCGCGGGGTTTCCAGGTCTGCTCCCTGCGGGAGTGAGCGCCCCTCGGAGGGTTTGTGTTCGACCCCGGCATCTCTGGCACCAGGGCAGCCCTGGGTGGCCCAGGGTGGGGGCGGGGGCTAGCTCGGAGGCGCCTGGGGGGCGGGAGCACAGGCGGACGCTGGAAGCCAAGCCGGGAGCACCACCTTCCCCACCCCCACGTCGTCTGCCCGGAGGAGGAAGGGGGGACCCCAGAGGCCAGCACGCCTGAGGAAGGGGGAGCCCTGCGCTGGAATCTTGCCCCCCAACCCTCTCCCCCAGGGCTGACCAAACATCCTGCCAGCTGCTTCCCATTAGCTGCGGGGGGCGGGGCGCCTGCCCCCAGGTCTCCCTGGCTCGGCCCACCTAGGCGGGAAGGGGCCAGGGGGTGCCGGCTCACCCCGGGGGGAAGGGCAGTGGCCACTTGAAAACTAGCTGGTCGGTCCTGGGGCCCTCGAAGGAAGGGCCGCCCCAGCAGAGGTCCCGGGAGGGGGCCGAAGCAGAGGGCCCCTCCCCCACGCAGAGCTGATTCGGGAGCACTGAGGCCGAGCACTGAGCGGCCTGCGCGGACCCTGAGCTCCTATGATGGCAGGAAGGAGGCTCCCGGCTCAGGGTGGACCCGGGCTCCTTGGAAAGTTCTAGAGTCCAAGAGCTGGAAGGTGACTAGCCGTGCTGCCTCAGAGGATCCTGTGGTTTGAACGGCTACAACCCTGCAGGCGCCAAAGGGCAAAAAAGGGTCCCTGGCCGCTCCCGAGTCGGGGGTGGGGTGGGGGGGGGCTGCAGCTGGCACCCCCCTCCCTCCCCCTCTCCGCCCCTCCCCCTACTCCTCACCTCTCTGCTCCCCTGTCCTCCCCTCCCCACTTCCCTGTGCCGCTTCCTTCCCTCCCCTCTCCCCTCCCACACCCCCTCTCCTCCCTCCATTCCCCCTCCTCTCTCCCATCCCCTCCCCCTCCCTTCTCCTCTCCCCTCCCACATCTCTCTCCACTCCCCCTTCCCATCTCTGCCCTCCCCATTCCCCTCTCCCCCTGCATCTCACCCCTCCCCTCATTGCCCTCTCCTCCTCCTCTTCCCTCCTCTCTCCCTCTCCCCTCTCCCCTCTGCCCTTTCCCTCTCCCCCTATCCCCACCCCTCCCCCACTCCTCTCTCCCCTCTGCCCATTCCCCTTTCGCCCTTCCCTTCTCCCCTCCCCTCTCCTCCCACACTCCCTTCCCGTCTCCTCCTTCCCCTCTCTCCTCTACCCCTCTGCGTTCTCCCCTCTCCTCTCGCCCTTCCCCTATTCCCTTCCCTCCTGTCCCTCTCTTTTCTCTCTCCACTCCCATCCCCCCTCACTCCTTCCTCCCCTCTCCTCTGGGCCCTGTCCCCCAGTCTTTTCCTCTCTCTCCCTCCAGTTCCCCCTCCTCTCCCCTCCCACTCTCCTGTCTCCTCGTCCACTCCCTTTTCTCCCCTTCTTCCTCCCCTCCCCCTTCTGCTCTCCCACCGCCCACAGTGTGGAGCTGCCACTGTGGAGGGTCAGAGGATGTTAACGACCCCTGCCGCCGTGACGTCACAGGGCCGGTCGTCCAGTGGGGCGCGCAGGGAAAGTCCCGGTGTGACCCAGATCCTAAAAAGAGCCCTTGGGGCGGCGGGTGGGACTGGGGGTGTGGGCGGCTGTGTGCTCTCCCCAGGGGTCCTGGAGAAGCCCTGGAGTCGAATGTCCCCAAAGGCCCCACGACGGTGGTGGGGAGCTCCGGGGGGTGGGGTGCGGCCAGGGTAACCTCAGGACCCGAAGGGGAGGCGGGGGCCGGGTCCCCCCTCCCTCTCCCCTCCCAGCCCGGCGTGCCAGCGTGTTCTCAACGGGCCCTCCCCTCCGGGAGCGACGTCGAGGGGTCCCCGGCCAAGGCCAGAGGCACGTGGAAAGGCGGCGCGGCCCCCTCCCCGCCGGCCCTCCGAGCGGAGCGGGCACGTTTGCGCTCCAGGGCTGGCGCTCGTGTCTCCGGCTCCAGACACATGTGACTCAGCCCCCGGCGGCCTTGCCAAGCCGTCTAGACCCGAGCGTCTGCCCGCGGAGGGGGCCGTCCCCCACCATTTCCTCTCTCGCCGCCCGGCCAGCTGCGCCCCGCGCTCGCTCCAGCCGCCCCCACCTCCCCCGGGGCCCCGTGCACGCGCCCCGCCCGCCTCCAGGGCTGCGGGCACGCGCCGCTCTCCGCCCCCGTGCCACGTCCCCGCGCCCCCGGCTGCGCTCACGTGCACGCGCAGGCCCGGCCGCCCCCTCCCCCTGGCCGCGCGAGCCTCCCGGCCCGCTGCTCCCGGCCGCGCGCCAAGGGCAGGAAGGGCTGCCGGTCGCCCCCACAGCCCCCATCGGGGCTCCCACCGAGGTTTCGGGGCAGCAGCCGCCCCTGCCTCGGCTGCTCTAGGGGGCAGCAGGGCCGGCCTGTGCACGCAGATACGCACGCAGAGGGAACGTTCTAGAACTGGCAGCCAGAGGCCCTTCCGGGGCCCTTCTCTCCAGTGCAGGGGGGCTGTGGCCACTGCCGCCGGGCCCCAGGGCCACCTTCCCAGAAACTCCTAGTCTCATTGCCCTTCTCAAAATGGGGTGTGTGTGGGGGCTTGGCACTCTTGAGGAGCTTCTAGGTGGCCTTGGCAAGCTCCCTCCCCTCGCTACAGGCTGCAGCCCTTGTGCCACCTGTATGGAGCTACTTTGTTCCTCAGTGGGCCCCCGGACCTGGGCACCTGGGAGAGGGGAGAGGCTGGAGCACAGTGGAGCCCCGAGGGGCACAGTTCTGACCTCATTCTCCCACCGGAATGCTCTGCCCAGGGCACAGTTTTATTTGGGAGCCGAAGCTGCCCCCACAGCGTCGTGTGGGGGAAGGTACCCGCTTGACCCAGCGCTTATGTCCCCACTGCCCAGCCAGGTGCCCCCACCCCTGCCAGCCCACTCCTGACGCCTGTCGACCTCTCCTTTTCCAAGCGGTCTTCCAAGGACTGACGCGGAGTTGGGGGGCTGCTGGGCCCCGCGGTCCGTGTCGCTCCTGGGAGGTGGCTGCCTGCGTCCTCAGTCCCCCCATTTCAGCTCCTGATTGCCTGGTTCCTTTCCCCGCCCAGGCAACTTCGCCCCCAGCCCCTTCTTCCTGGTCCCCGAGACTCCCAGGGCTGTGCCCCTCCCAGCCTGCAGTGTCCGCAGTGAGGGTGTCAGGGATGTGTCAGGATTCTGGGGGGGGGGGTGCAGACTGGGGGCGTCTTCAGCAGCCATGCCCAGGAGCGGAGGCTGGAGGCCACAGCCTCAACCACGTCCTCCTCCAGGCCTCCAGCCCCCACCCCCGCAGGCCCCGACAGAGCTGCTGAGTTGAGCATCCTGGCTCCAGCCGGCTGGGTGGAGAAGGGGAATTTTCTTCCAGAACACACAGGGGCTGGTTTCTTCCCACTCCCCCAGAGTAGAAGACACGCCAGGGTGGGGGAGGCCTGAAACTGCCGTGGTTTCTCCCGCCAAATTCCCCAGTCCTAGGAAAGATCCACAGCAAAACCCACAAGAATTTGAACGTCTGAGCTGGGGCCGTGATGGAAATGAGATCTTAAGAAAGAAAGAAAGAAAGAAAGAAAGAAAGAAAGAAAGAAAGAAAGAAAGAGAGAGAGAGAGAAAGAAAGAAAGAAAGAAAGAAAGAAAGAAAGAAAGAAAGAAAGGAAGAACAAAAATAGTCAAAGGGGGAAAGATGAGGGGGAATGCCCTGGTGCAGAGTCCTTCGCTGCCAGCAGGGCTTGGGGCTTGGGGCGAGGGGACAGAACTGTCCCCCCAGTGGAATTCCGGGACTCCCCATCCCAAGGATAATGTGGATTCCAGAGCCAGCAGCCGCCTTGCCTCCTCTCGTGGTGCTCAAAGAGCACAGTGCCACTCTGCTCCAGACTTTAACCCAACCCCTCCAGAGAGAGGCTAGAGGGGCTCGGACCTCCCAGCTCCTTCCCACCTCGCCTCATTCCGTCACGAGTGGGGGCTGGGGGTATCACGCTGAGCTCCAGAGGGCTGGGACAGGGCCCCAGGATTTCGGTCCAGACTCACTGAGTTTGGGGAGACTGCGAGGTGCAGAAAAGAGCCCCAGAACCTTCCAAAGATAGACGGGGGGAGGAAAAGAAAGCCGCCCAGCGGGATGACAGTGAAGCGTGGTCCCAGGCACTGTCCTACGTGTTTCCTAGGAATCCTGACTCATTCCGTTCTTCCAGGCGCAGACCCCAGGAGATACGCGCTTTCGCTGACCTCATCGAGAGCCAGGCGGCACAGAGGAGTTAGGTCATCGGCCTAATGTCACACAGCTAGTGACGTGGCGCCGGATTCAAAGTCAAGAAATTGTGAGTGTGGGAAAGCAGAGATCAGCACCCCGTGGAAGACGAACGGAGTCAGAAATCCCCCATCCGGCCTTTCACCAGCCGGGCAAGCCGCTCAAGGCAGGGGCGCCCTCTGCTGGTGGAATCGGGCCTCGACCGGTGTTCCCCCGGAGAGCCCCTCCTTCCGCCCGGCCCCTGGTTCCCAGCCCGCCCCGTTCCCAGCCCGCCCCATTCCCGGCCCTCCCGCCGTCAGTCCCGCCCCCAGACGCCTGACGTCCTCCACGCTCCGCCCTTCTTCCCACCCGCGAGCTTTCAATTCCGCTTCCGCTCCGCTCCGCTCCGGTCCCGCCCCATTCCGTTCCGGTTCCGCTCCCGTCCCCTTCCGGTCCTGGCCGTTTCCGTTCCGGTTCCATCCGATCTGCCCACTCCGCCCCATCGCTCTCTTCCTCTCCTTTTTCCGTTCCACGTCCCGCCCCCTCCTCTGTGGGCGGGTTCCGGGGGGCCGCGGCCCAATGAGAAGGCGTGGTGGGTGGGGCGAGGGTGGGCCGTGGGAACGCCCTTCGGCAGAAGCCCCGCCCCAACCCGAGGGTGGGCGGAAGGAGCGCTGGGCTGGCCCGTGATTGACAGGTGGACTGGCCAGTTAGCCCGGGGCATGGGCGGGGCGCGGCCGGGAGCGCGAAACATGGCCGGGCTCGGCGCAGGGGGCGGCAGCGGCGGCCCGGACCCGAGCGAGAGCGGCGTTTTGGACGCAGCGGTGGAGGTGTACGGCAAGCTGAAGGTGCCTTGGGTCCGGGCCGGCCAGATCGTATTTGGGAAGTTGGAGGCACACGGGCCTCCGGCGCAGTCCCGGGTGCCGCTTGTGCCCGCGTAGTGGGGGGCTCCCAGGGGGGGTGTCCCTGTCTCTTGGGCCTCGCGCACGGACGCGAAGCAAGTGCCATAGGGAGGGCCACAGGCCAGGCCTCTAGGATCTTGCGGGGTCCCACGGGACACCAACAGGTCCAATCCGCCGCTCTGTGTCGCTGGCTTCCCTGGCCAGTGCGGGCAGGCGTGAGGAAGCCACCTGTCCAGGTCAGGCCTCCGTCCTCTGCTGCTTGGAGCCTGAGTCGGGTGGGGTGGCGCGCCCGGGAAGATCGTTGAGGGGGCTAGAGGGGGGCCCGGGGAATGTGTGCGTGGGGAGGAGGAAGACGAGCCTGTGACTCTGGCCTTCCCTGGCCCTTCTCCACCCTAGGACCTCAGGTGCCCTTTCCTCCAGGGACTCTACCTCACTGAGCCCACCACCATCCAGGAGCTGCTGTGTACCCCCTCCAAGTACCGCCTGGAAATCCTGGAGTGGATGTATATCCGGTGAGGGCACCCTGTTGGCCCGCAGCCCCCACCTCCCCCTGGGCGAGCAGGGCAGCTGTGGAGAAGCTGTCACAGGGGAGAAGCCCTGCACTCCACGTCTCAGCTGTGCGCAGTGGCCTCTGTGCCTTTGTTCCGTTGCCATCCACATTGCCCTAAGGGTGGCAGAGGACAGTGGCTAGGCTGGACTCCTGTTGGACAGCCCCATTCCTTACGCCTATGGGTCCAGTGTGTCTGCGTGTGGCCAACCCGTGCCAGGGCAGCATCTTGCCCAGAGGGCCAGGGAAGACCCCACATGTACAGAGGAGTGGGCTGCTCTGGGGAGGAGCTCCAGAGTTGTACATTGGGAGTTTGTATTTTGGTTTGGGGGCCACATCTGACTGCGCTTCGGGCTGACTCCTGGACCTGCTCAGGAATCACTCCTGGTTGCGTTCTGGGAACTGTTTGTGGCACTGGGGATTGAACTTGGGCTGCCTACGTGCAAGGCACGTGCCCTCTCCACTATACAACCTCCCCAGCCCTCTGGTTTTATTTATTTATTGGTTTGTGGGCCACACTCTGCTGTGCTCAGGGCTGACTCCTGAGTCTGCACTCCTGGATCACTCCGGTGGGCTCAGGGGACACTGTAAGGTGCCAGGGATGGGACCCGGGTCCGGGCATGCTCTCTCTGCCCCCGTTTTAAGCCCTCTTGTGCATTGGTCTGAAAGCTGGAGTGGGGGCAGACTGAGATGATAGTCCAGGAATTAAAGCACTGGCCCTGCTTCTATCCCCAGCACCTCACGAGGTCCCTGAGCACTGCCAGGAGAGCTCCCTGGGCGCAGAGCCAGGAGTAACACAGCTGGGAGTGCTTTAACCCTCATTCAAAGGGAAAAAAGGCAGGAAGACTGTCCCCCGTGTTGGGCACAGCCTAGGGTCCTGGGCAACTGGGCTTGACAGATTGCAGCTCAGGGGGACAGGAGCTGGTGTTAGAGTAGTGGGCGACCAGTCTCCGTGCAACAGGCACACTTGCCAGGAGGCACGATAGGCCCTGGGCACGGTTGGAGCCCCTGCCTGCCCAGCAGGTTGTCGTCCCCTGGCATGTCTTGGACCTGAAGCTTGGCTGGTGTTTGTCCCTGGCCTGGAGCCTCGCTTCACACCTCTGCATGTCCCACGTACTCCTCCACGGCCTTCGAAGCCCATGTCTCTTTTCTCATCTCTTTGCAAATCTCCAGTTCCTGGGGTGAAGCTTGCACCCTCAACCACTGTGCCATTTGGCTCCCCCAGGCCTCCATGCAGTCTGGCGCGGCCCTGGATCAACTCACAGCCATTACCAGGACCTGGGCCCCTGCTGGGCACCCCTAGGCAGATGGGCCTGGGCACAGACCTCAGTGCCGGGTGCGCTTCTGCCCGCTTGGCACAGCCTGTTGCAGGGAGGAGATGCTGTTTGCTCTGGGATGGTCTCAGGCAGCTGCTTGGGTGGTAAACCATGCCATGGCCTTTGACCTTGATGCGCTGGGCAGGGCCAGTGTGGGAGTAGCGGGCAAGTGACCCCTGGCGCTTCGGCAGACTACCTCAGGGGTCTGGGCGGGCAGATTTCACGTGGAGAGGCTGAAGGCAGCGAGACCGGTGGGAGGCTTTGGCAGGTGCCAGGCTCAGCCCTGGCCCAATGAGAGAGGCTCGAGCACCGGAAGGAGTGCTGCGAAGCCTCATCTTGGAGAGCACATTGTGGGAGGGAGCACCGGGAAGGATAATGGCCAGAGAGGCACAGGTGGGAGGCCCTGGCTGCGATCCTCAAAGGCTTTTAGTGCCGTTTCAAAGGCAAATTGGGCTGCTGAGGCGGCCAGGATGATTCTGGGCAGGCTCCGGGCCGGCCAAAGTGCCCGGCCTGGACACAGTTCAGGTCCCAGCTTTGCAGCTGCCTCTGCCGGGAATTGGCTGGTGGGCCGCGTGCTGCTTTCACGCCTCCTGCCCCCCGCTCCCAGCCCAGCCTGTGTGGGCTGCACAGCAAACCGCAGCAGCCGAGAGCTGAGATGCATTGTGGGAAGGGGTGCCCAGCACCAGCCCCCCTGGGCAGCGGATTTCCGGCCCTCGGTTCTCCTTGGTGGCTGCCAGGAGCTGGACTTACTGTCCCTGCCTTTGTCCCTGCACTCTCCCAGCGGCCGCAGGAAGATGCTTGTAAAAAGCCCTTTCTGGGTGAGGTCAGCTCGGCCTTTGTGTGTCTGCTTTTCTGCGTCTCGGCCGGGGTACGCTCTGCCCTGGGAGCCTGGTGGGCAGCCAGGCCCAGGCCGGCCTCCTGGCAGTGCCCCAGGCCAGTGTGCTTTGGGACTCTCCGTCCTGGCAGAGCATCAGCCTGGGTGGTCGTGCACACGGGGGTGGGGGGGCGGGAGGGGGGCGCAGGCAGGCTTCCTTCCAGTGCAGTTCGGGTCTAGAAACTGCTCAGCCGTTGCGGGGTGGGATGCGGTCTCTGCCATGATTCTCCACGGGTGTCACTCCCTGGGCTGAGGGGGACGGTGGGGCTTGCCGAGGTGGCCTTCCCACCTGGGCACTGACAAAGGGCTTAAAGGTGGCAGGGCTAGGGTGCCTGCCATGGGTGGGGCTGTGCAGACCCAGTGGCACGGTACCTGGCGGGGGGGTGGCGCGGTGAACTTTAATCCACCTCCTGTGACATCGGCCCTCATTGGCGAGCCTCTTTGGGGGGGCTCCCAGGGCTGCCCTTCCCATTGATTCTGACCTAGTGGCCCAGTGCTTGGGGCCACTTAGGCTGCTCCACAGTGTCCTGGGCCCAGTGAGGGGGAGAGGTGATGGGGATCCAGTGCTGCTCATGCTCACATCAGGGCGGGTGTGAGCAGCGGTGCTCGGGGGTCACTCCTGGCAGGGCTCGGGACTGGAACTGGTCTTGGCTGCGTCTTCCCACTGGCCTCTTGCAGGTCTGCAACCCCCAAAGGGAGCTGATGAGCTGTGCTCTCCTCGCAGAGTGTACCCCTTCTGGAAGGAGAGGCTCACCGCGCTCAAGGGGGTCCCCGTGGAGGTGAAGATCCAAGGTGAGTATTCTGGGCGGGGGCCTCGCGCCTTGCCCTGGCTGGCGTGGGGGTGACAGCCCTTCTGCTCCTGCAGAGATGGTGAAGCTGGGCTCGGATCTGCTGCTCTGTGGCCCGCGGGATGATGAGCTCCTGCAGGTAGGCTGGGATGCGCGCCTCTGAGGGCATCAAGGGCAGCTGGCTCCTCCGAGATGTGGCCAGGCTGGGGGGTGGGGGTGCAGTGTGCCCAGTCCCTGGCCTGTGGCATCGTCACCCCTGCCCTGAGGCACGTGCCAGCACCCCCCCAGGGCAGGAGAAGTCTGCCTCCCTCACTTGGGCGGCACTGTGCCCCCACATCTGGGCTCTCCTCCTGGGGACGGTTGGAACTCACCTGGGTCCAAGGTAAGGAGTGAGCTGGTCCTAGGGTAACTGGAACTTCCCGGGAAGTGCCAGAATGTTCCAGGGTGTACAATGTTTTCGGGCGGGTCACCTGGTCTCCTGCCCTCAGCGCCTGTCATGTGAATGCCCGCCCTCCTGCTCTGTGTCATGTGGCTGCTGGGTTTAGTGGGTGTGTCTGGGAGCTGAAAATGGCCATGAGAGATGCCGGCATGTCTTCAGACGGCGCACCTAGTCTCTGGGCCGATGGGTACCAAGTGTACCTCCCACTGGCCACCGTGCGCAGGTCCTGCCCATGGAAGTAGCTGGCAGGCTCTGAGCTGGTCAGAAGCGTTTGGTGGGGGCGAAGTTCCATGCGCCCCCTTATCCCCAAGCTCATGAGAAGGGGCATCTGCGGTTTCTTCTAAGGGTCACTCTTGGGGCGGGACATTTGTACATGGAGTCAAGTTAGCATGTGCTGCCGCGCGGTTGGCCCCAAACCCATGGTTAGTAGAACTGTGGGGTCATTGAAGGAATGGTCAGGTGACAGCACTACATGTGGCTGCTCCCCCTCATCCGTGACCAGGACAGGGCTGCACTCTGCCCCATCTCGTCTCTCACCTGGGGCTGTGTGGGTGTGGACATGCTTAGGGACATGCCCTGGGACCTCAATGGCAGGAAGGTGATGACTGGTGGCATGGGACCCCGGCTTTACAGGTGGCAGGATGGCCTGGCAGCCGGGGAAGGGATTCTGACCACGGAGGGGCCCGGAGGCATGTGGACTGCCCGTGGTCCTTCCAAACTCCCTATTCGCTTCATCCTGTGCCGAGGAGCAGAGCGAGGGCTGGGCTGGCCTGTGCCTGCAGGTGTGCCTGGAAGGGCCGTCAGCAAAGAAGTGACGAGATTCTGGTTCGGGTTGGGGGATCTCTGGGGGGTGACACTGGCCAAGACCACCTGTTGGGCTGCTGAGGAGGGGACAGCAGGCAGCGCTCCCAGCTCTGGTGCTCAGGGCTCCAGGAGGCCCCCAGGAGATCAGTGGCTCTTCTGATTCTGTGGTGGTTTGGGGGGGGCGGCAATCAAAAAGATGCCCTCACCCCATCCTGCTCCTGGGCCCCCCCGCTCAAGTGAGTCACTGGGGTTGATGTGGAAAATGAGTCATCAGGAGGAACTGAGCAGGCGTGCGGTGATGCTGCTGGGATGCCAGAAGCTTCCAGAGACTGGGGCTTCTGAGGACTTCCCTGGAGACAATGACCAGGCCCCAGCCATCGGGGCAGAGCGCCCCCACCCCGGCCCACTCCACCTCCCCAGGGGTTCCATGCTGCGCCTGAGTGGCCAGGGTGGCCCGTGCGTCCTCCTTTCTAGCAGGGACCAGGCCTTGGGCCCTGAGCATCCCAGAGCAGGACGGAGCAGCCTTTCGGACCAGAACTCAGGGAGCCCCAGGGATTCTGACTTCTCCTGAGGTCAGAAGGAGCCTGTGGGTTCGAGCTTTCAACACCCAGGCCTTCTCTTGGAGCTGTTCCTGGGCAGTTTCTGTGGGATCAGGGGCTGCTGTGACCTGTCCCTGCCTGTGGCCTTCCCTCTGCAGGGCCGGGATTGTGCCCAGAAGCAGCTGCACTTCATGGACCAGCTGCTGACCGTGGGCCAGAGCCTGGCCCACACAGGTGCCAGCTGCCCCAGGTAAGGGTGCCCAGTGGGTGCCCTGGGGCCGCCTCTGTAGTTGATGAGACTTACTGTCGGGGAGGCCTCAGAAGGGGTCTGTCTCTCCCTTCCCTGGCCCGGGGAGGCTCGTCTTGGCCGTGCGCCCTTTGTGACCAGATGCCCCTCTGCAGTGCCGAGGAGCACTTGGAGGACATCATGGAGAAGAACGAGGTCCTGTTGGACAGTGTCCTTTCCCCCAGTCATCTGCAGTGGCTCATGAGCCCTAGATGCGACCCCTGGCCTCTGGATGTGCAGCCCCTCCTCCTCGGGCTCTATGACTCCAGCCAAGAGCAGCCGCAGCTGCACGCCCCGTCCCTGCCTGGCCCTGGGGCAGATGTGTCTGCGCAGCTGGAGCAGGACGAGGTGGAGAAGCTGGCCACGCAGCTGCACGGGAGGGCGCTCATGCTGGAGGCGCTCCGGGCCCAGGTGAGGGCACCAGGCCAGGGCTGTGGGGTGGGAAGTGCCCAGCAGCTGGGCCATGGCTAGCCCTGAGCATGCCCCAGCACATCACTGTAGCAGTGGTTCTGGCTAGGCTTCTGGATCTCCCTGAGGCCCATGTGCTGGACGTGGGGTCAAGGTGTTCCCTCGGTTAACTCCCAGTCCTCTTCCGCCTCCTTCTGGCTCTGGCTACGAGGCCTATGGGGCCTGGCTGGGCCCGCCTGGTATGCTTTGGTTTGGCAGTGCCTGGAGCAGCACCAGCTGGATGTGCGTGTGACCTGGACCGATGCCAACACCCTGGACCAGACACTGCACCTGGTCACGTCCGACTTCCACCAGCTCGTCCAGGCTTTCCTCCAAGTGTGTGAGCACGAGCTGGCCGAGTGCTCTCAGCGCCCTAGGCCCCAGCTGCACTCCTGTGGGCCCGTCATCCAGGCCGTGGACCAGGTCCTTACCTCGTATGGCCAGGTGAGCATCTCAGGCTCACCGCCCGTCAGGGAGGCCACTTGCTCCGTTTGACCCGCGGCCCAGCCTCCGTGTTCATGTGTTCATTCCTGTGCGGGATCACCGTCTCCACCCTCTGCTTGCTCTCGCTCGTCCGGGGCCTGCCCGTAGCGACACTTCACCCACCCACTTTCCAAGCCTGATGCTCAGGTGCTGGTGTGTTTGCAATTTGGGGTACAGCTTCATATGCGTGGTTTGGATTTTTGAAGCCGAGACCTTTTGAGGGGTGGGCGATTTGGGCCCACCTCTGTCCCCCAAGGTGCTCAGTATTTCCTCCTGGCTCTGTGCTCAGGAATCAGTCCTGCCAGGGCTAGGGGGACCAGATGTGTTGGCAGGATTCAAACCCCACTTGCCTGGGCGTAAGCAAACACCCTGCCAGCCATGAAAACGAGACCTCTGATGGGGCTGGTCTCGGGTTTTTGTGGACGTGGCCTGCAGTCTGCTGGGTGCAGGGCAGTCCCTTAACCCCTGCATGCTCTCCACTCATCTTGCCTTTTTCTAACTGAATGCCAGACATCCAGAGTGAGCAGTTGGTCCTTAGCGATCCTTGCTCCTGTGACCCTCCTTTCCTGTGTCACCTTGGCCTTGGCTCGCCACCCTGCTCCCTGGATGGGTGGGGAGCAAAGGGAAGGATGTGGGTGCAAAGCAGGGCCCACCGCTAGCATAGACACCTTCTGCTTCTCCCCAGCTCTTGAAGGTGGTTGTGGAGGTCACTTCCACGTCGGGACAAACCACAGACCAAGTCTGCCAGGCCAGCAAGAGCCCCGTGGTGAGTCTTGGTAAGTGGCTGGATGGAGGTGCCCAGGGGACAGGGGCGTGCTGCAGTGGGGACAGCCCGAGGCTGCCGTGCCTTTTCTGGGAGCATGATGGTGGGCCCTCGCTCCAGTCTGGGACACCTTTGACACCTGACAAAGGAAACCACAGAGAAAAATGTGGTCTGAGCAATAGCACAGCAGGGAAGGCATTTGCCTCACCTGCGACCAGGTCGGGTAGGATCCCTGGCATCCGCTATGGTCCCCTGAGCCCGCCAGAAGTGAAGGCTGCCACTCCCTGGCTGCTCTGCTTGCCACCATGCTCGCCGAGTTAGGTGTGACCCTGAGGCTGTGTCCTGCCTTGTGACTGCCACGTGACGCTGGCCGTTGTCATGTGCTCGCCACCACGCACTGGTTAGAATCCATTCCTGAGTGGAGGCCCAGGGGATGCGCAGGCTGGGTCCTTCCATTGAGTGATCCTTCCTGCCTTCCTAGTTCGCCTCCAGCATCTCAGGTCTCCAAAGGCCGCAGTGAGGAGCAGGGACTGGAAGCTGGAGTTCCCCATGCTCACAGCTGCCCAGGAGGTGGCCCTGTTACAAGGAAAGGACTGGTGGGCATGTTGAGGCACAGGGGTGTTCCCTGAGCAGGGCACCCCTCTGATGGCTGCGTGGTTCCCGTGGTGCACCCCGGGAATCTCAGCAGCTGCTGTGCCTTCGACACTGAGGCACACAGCCCGAACCTTGCCCCAGGAGACCTCTGTTGCACTCAGTTCCCGCTCTTTCTGTTGTGTGAACCATGCATGGTAGAAGCTCTGGGTCTGTGAGAATCAGAAACACGGGCTGGCTGGCACCACATCTCCCCTGAGCACTGCCAGGAGTTCCTTCCACATGCTCTGCCATGAAATCTTTACATCAGGAAGAGGTCATTGCAGCAGCTCGGGCTGGTGCTGCCATGTCCCCTGGGAGAAATGTGGCCCCTTTCTGGTGCAGAGAGCTGCGTTCGCCTCCCCACACGTCGCCCCTATTCACCCCTCTTTGTTCGGCTTTCCCGAGTTGCTTGTGTGTGGTGTGTGTGGGGGGGTCCCGTTTCACGTTTGTCTTGTGGGGTTGGTTTTCTTGGACCGTCCCTGGCGATGCACAGGGGCTTCTCCCTGTGGTGTGTGAGGGATTGTGCGGGGCCAGGAATCGAACTTGGACCTACGATCGGCAGAGACTTGGCTCAGCGCCCCCCACGCCATGTCGCTCAGCTTGCACCCAACAGCAGATCCCCTCTACTGCTCGTGCGGCCCAGAGAGATGCGCAGCTGGTGTGGGGAGCTGGCTTCTGCAGTCTGCTGTTTCCCTTTTGCCCTGGGGCAGGCCCGGTAGTGCTCAGGGCTTACTCCAGACGCTGTACTCAGGAGTTATTCCTGGTGGTATGGGGGGAACCTTAGGAGATGCCGGGGATTGAACCCGCGTTGGCCGCATCCGAGGCAAGTGCCCCAGCCACTGTGCTGTTACTGCAGCCCTGCCATTGGCCTTTTCCTCCCCGCACCACTCCCGCACTGCATGTCAACCTGTCAGCAAAGAAGTCTGGTTCTGTCTTGGCCTCTCTGGCCATAGTGGCTCCGTGGAGCTGGGGCAGGCCACACGGGATTCTAGAGTGTTTGCAGTGTTGTGCGACTATCGTGTATCTGTCCAAGAGGCTGCCTCCAGTGCAGACCACCCTTGGGGCCCATTAGTCCTTTCAGCCTCCTGATGCCCCCACCGCCTGCCTGTCACTCCTCTCGGGCCACATGACTGCCACTCTCCCATGACTCCACATCTGCGTGGCTACACACATTCGGGTTAGTCCCACTTTGCAGCTCTCAGGAGTCCCACTGTATGTCCCACTGTAGCATGTAAATGTGTTAGGAACACAGGCTGGAAATAGGTAGAATGAGAACAAAGGCAGAACGGGCAGTTTCTGGGACCTCTCTTTCTGAAATGGCAGAGCCGAGGTGGGCTCCTGGAACTGGCTCTTTGCTCTTTCTCCAGAAGAATCTCCCCTTGGATGAGCCCGTTATGAAGGTATCTGTCCCAGTATACTAAGGCCTTTCGATGTGTAAAACTTTTGCCTGGATAGATTAAGATAGTCATTTGACTCAAGAATGTTCTTCTCCTTCTGATGATAACTGCTTCTAAGCGGTGAAGATTGTACGTGAATAATTTTGTGAGAGGCCCCTGGCCCTGTGCTTTCCCTCATATTTCCATCTTAGTCCTGTGCGGCTTCTCTGCTTCCACCCTTTGCCCCTGGGTCGGGGCCCCGGCCTGTTTGTTGAAAGATTTCATGGGGAGGGTTGCAGCACTCCTGGCTCCATGCTCACCCGAGAGACCATGTGGTGCTGGGATTCGAACCAGGGCCAGCAGCGCGAGCACGCTGCTTCCTTCCAGTCCACCTCTCACCCGCCTCTTTGCTTTGCCCCTCTGCACAGGTGTGAGACCGTGGCTTCTGCAGCACTCCCCAGGACTCTGCCCTCTCCTTCGCTGTGCTTTAGTTCTCAGCTTGACTGGCTACCGGCCTCTTCCTCTTTATTATTATCATTATTATTTTGGGTTTGGGAACCACACTTAGTGGTACTCCGGGGTTACTCCTGGCTCTGCAAGGACCACTTCTGGTGAGCTCAGGGCACCATAGAGGGTGCTGGGGATGGAATCCAGGTCAGACGCGTGCAAGGCAAATGCCCTTTCCCACTGTCCTAAGGGTCCAGTCCCATGTGTCTCTCCATTCTTCAGGGCTTGTGTGGGTGATTCTGAGTTGTCTTGCAGCTGTCAGCTTCCCAGAGAACCACCTTCAACCTTCTTCCTTGTTTTCAAGGTTCTCTTGGTCTCGGGCTTGGGACAGTTTGATGCCATCTTGGTGGCATTGCTCTGAGTTGCCCTCCCTTGGAGGTTTCGAGCTGCTTTGGGTGGGGGGCGGTACCCACCTGGTGGTGTTCAGGAGCCCTGCGGTACTGGGGACCCTGCTTGCAAAGCCTGCGCCCCAGCCTCTGGAGCCGTCTCCCCGGCCCGGTTCTGACTGTCCTGGCAGAGCAGCTTGATGTTTTCCCACACTTGGCCGGAAGCAGAATGTGCATCATTTCCTCCTCCTCCATGGCATGCTTGCTCAGCCCTCACACTCACACATCCCTGCCTTCCCGCCCTGCTCGCCCCGACTCTCCATACCCTCTGCCTGTGGCTGCTGGTGGGGGGCCTGGGGTCTCTGCATGCCCCGCGACCGTGTGTCTGTCCTCCAGCCCACCCTTCGCATCTCAGGATCTGGGCTGTGCCCCAAGCTCTGGAGAAGGCCCTGGTGCTGTCTTGAACCTCAGCGGTCAGTAGGGTTCTGCGTGGAGGCCCTCCTGTGCTGCACCACTAAATCCCAGCTGTCCCAGCTCTGCCCTGGCACGGGGTGCTGACTCCGTTGCCTCCAGAGAGGCCTCCTGCTTCCCCACTCACCGTGTGGGACCCGGCTCTGCAGAGTGAGGCAGGCACAGGAGGAGACCCCCCCAGAGAACCCGGAAGGAGGAACCCCTGGGTCATCACCTGAGCCTGGTGCCTGAGGAGCCAGACAGCGGGCCCCGAGCACCGCCCTGACCTACCGAATGCCAGGCCCTCAGAATGAGACTCGTCCAGCCTGGCTCTGGTGGGCTGTCTAGCCTGCCCGCCACTGCATGTCTGGGTAACCACTGGGCTCGGCCTGCCAGGGGCCAGCCCTGGACGGGGACTCCGGCAGTAAGTCCGGGAGCGCCGCCCTCACCACTCTCGCCTCTGTCTTTGCTCCACAGCCTCCAAGATGGAAGAGTTCATGGAAAAATGCAAGGTTTTCGGAGACACGCTGGACAGACGCACAGACAGCTGGGGCCAGGCTCTTCAGGGCCTGGGGAAGGCGGGCACAGAGCGGGGCACAGCTGCAAGGAAATAAAGGGCTGGTGTCCGCATCTCGTCTGCTGTGACAGCGTGTGCTTCTTCCCCTCGCCCCCTCCAGCACCCATCACTCCTGTTCCCTCACCTCCTCAGTTCTGCTGGCCCTGTCCAGCCAGGGTCACCACCTTCCTGTGGCCTCTCCCCTGCCGTCTAGATCTCCTACAGGGGCCCTCTTTCCATCCCACCCACCTGGTCGGGCGTCTCCTGCTTCCTCCCCGAGGTGCCCGCCTGACACGGCCCAGGAAGTGTTGCCGGTGGCCTGACTGGTTGTCCAGGAAGCTGCTCCTGGGGTTTCCTGGGATGACCTGGCATCTCCCTGGTGCGGCCTACACCCTCCCCAGAGCCCAAACCTGGCGTGACTGTTCGGCCTTGGCAGCGGATGGGAAGGGGGGCAGCCTTGGCTCTGCTCCTGCACCTTCATTTCTCAGGCTTTCCATGGGGTCCCTGTTCTGTACAGACCGCCAGAGACCAGGCACGCTATGGGAGGTGGGATGACCGTGAGCCCTGGAAGGCTAGGGCGCGAGTGCCCTCACTCCCCCTGGCCTTCCAGGGCATCCTCCGCCATGGTGCCTGCCTTCCCAATCCTTTCTGCTGGAGGCTGAGCAGCAGCCCTGTCTCTGGGGCCTCTGTGGCCCCGTCCTGGACCAGTCTTCCCAGGTGTACCTGTGACCGACTCGGTGGGACTGTGGTGGCAGTCTGGGCCCTCGGGAGCCTGCGTGCAGCCGGGCGCCTGCCTCCTTGTCTGTAAACACGGGGCGTGTGTCCCTGCGGCTGTGAGCGAGTGAGCGAGGGGGCGGTGAGCCGGCCCCGCAGGTCCTGCGGCCTCGGGCCGCCCTGTTGCCCAACAGGCGGCTGGGGGCGGGCCGGGCACTGATTAAAGGGCGCCTGGAGCAGCCTGCGTGGAGACAGGTGACCAGCAGCGCAGAGAGCCGGTCAGCGCCTGCCCCAGGTAAGCTGCCGCGCGAGGGGCCAGGGCCGCCTGGAGCCCCAAGGCAGGCCCGGCCGGGTTGGGGCCAGACCCGCGTGCCAGAAACAAGGCCGGGGCACTGGAGCCTGGGAAAAAGGTACAGGTGCGGGGCAGGGGGGTATGGCAAGGCTCCCAGGCCAGGTGTCTGGGGTAAGGTGCTGCCCTGGACTGGCCCTCCTGAGGTGTCCAGTGACAGGGACCTGCTTCGTGTCTGGGCCTCAGCCGCCCTTGGAGGCTTCTTGCGGGGCAGAGGAACAGTCCCCCGTGGCTGGCTGCCCCCTGGGCTGTAAGCGCCCTGAGGAGGGGTGGTGATGGTGTTGGGCAGGGCAGCCGTGGTGACCTCAGCCTCGTGTCTCTTGCCCCAGCAGCGTTCGCTTCCCCGTCCTGTGAGCGCATCACCATGTCTGAGGCGTGCCGGGCCGAGACCTTTGTCTTCCTGGACCTAGAAGCCACCGGGCTCCCCAACATGGACCCGGAGATCGCCGAGCTCTCGCTCTTTGCCGTCCACCGCTCTTCACTGGAGAGCCCGGAGCGGGATGAGTCCGGCACCCCGGTGCTTCCCCGCGTCCTGGACAAGCTCACGCTGTGCATGAGCCCACAGCGGCCCTTCACGGCTAAGGCCAGTGAGATCACGGGCCTGAGCAGCGAGGGCCTGGCACAGTGCCGGAAGGCGGGCTTTGACACCGCTGTGGTGTGCACGCTGCAGGCCTTTCTCAGCCGCCAGGAGGGCCCCATCTGCCTGGTGGCCCACAACGGCTTCGACTACGACTTCCCATTGCTGTGCACGGAGCTGCAGCGCCTGGGTGCCTGCCTGCCTTCAGACACCATGTGCTTGGACACGCTGCCCGCGCTGCGGGGCCTGGACCGCGCCCACAGCCATGGCACCCGAGCCCAGAGCTGCAAGGGCTACAGCCTGGGCAGCCTCTTCCGCCGCTACTTCCAAGCCGAGCCGAGCGCGGCCCACTCGGCTGAGGGCGACGTCCACACGCTGCTCCTGGTCTTCCTGCACCGCTCCGCTGAGCTGCTGGCCTGGGCCGATGAGCAGGCTCTGAGCTGGGCTCACATCAAGCCCATGTATGCACCGCCTGAGGGCCTGAGCCTGGAGAACTGAGTGTGCTGGGCCCGGGCCATGGCCTGAATCCTGGGAGTCCCCGCTATGGCCTCCCGACAGGCTCCGACTGGGTCCCGGACCTCAAAGCCCACTCTCCCTCTCGGGGTGCCTGGAGTCCATATACCTGCCAGACCTTCACTGTGCCTGGCCCCACAGCCCTGGAACCTTCTCGGGGGCCCACCACCAGCCGTCACTCAGTGGAGTTGGCTGCAGGGGGGTTGGCCCCCATACCCTGTCTGCCAATAAACATGACGGACCAGCTGCCTTTGCTGTGCCCCCCATGCTCAAGCTCTTCCTAGCTGATGGTCCCTTCTCTTTACTGTCATCCCAGACGTCCAAAAAGTCCACAGGGAGGGGTGCCTGGGAAGATGACGGGGGAGCTGACCCTGTCTTTGGGTGCTGCGCCTGCCCCCATCCTGGGGCTTCTGTCTGCCTCAGCAGGCAGCACCGGGGAGATGGAGGCCACCTTGAAAAACACACGCCCGAAGGGTCTGGCAAGGACCAGCCAAGTGAGAGGAAGGCCTACGGAGGCCTGTGGGGTGCCGCAGAGCTCCAGGCTGGCCCGAGGGTGACACCTACGGAGGACTCCCACAGCTGTGTCCCCTACGCTCTGCTTCAGGGAACTGCTGCACCTCCCGCAGGGGCCCCACCCGAGGCTCCAAGTGATGGGGCCGGGTCGGGCTGGGCCGGATGTTGGGCAGCTGAGCACAAGCACAGGTAAGAAGGGGTGGGTGGGGCAGGGTGCCACGCCCAGGAATGACTCGGAGGAGCCACGCCTTGCACCTGGAGCCAGCTGGGCCCGTTCCGGGACCCCTAAGTAGGTCAGAGTGACTTGAGACACTACAGGGCGCAAGGTGGCCCACGGCAGGGCCCACATGCTGCCACCTCAGGCCACTGTCCACGGCGGTGAGCAGGAGGGATTGGGAGTTGATATGGCGTTTACAGTTCCTCTCGGGACTAGAGCCAGCCTTCGGGGCATGATGGTGGGCCACGAGGGCACATCAGCGGGGTCAGGTGGGTCCCTAAGCCAGCACCCCTGCTCCAGAAAGAGTGCCACAAGTCGGGCTGGGCTGGAGTGGAGTGTGGGGGGGCACAGGAAACACGGGATTCCCTGGGGGTTCAGGCAGGTTCTGGCCAACTCACTGTCTGGCAGGGACTCAAGCCCAGGAGCGGGGGTGGCAGGTTGATAGTGCCACCGTGGTCTCTAGTCTCCTGTGGTGCCCCGGCCTCATGACAGCCTGGCCTGGGGCACCGTCTCTGAGCTCCTGCCAGGACTGGTGCCTGGCAAGCTGCATAGACAGGCCCAGGCCTGCCCTCTTGCCTGGAAGTCGCACCGCTCTGATAGGCAGGCGACAACGGTCTTTCCAGGAAAGGACGGAACCCCGTGTCTACCTATGTCCCCTCCCCTGTACACACGCATTGCTTTATTACACATTCCACACGAGCACACAATTAACAAACAATAGCAGCCACAGCATACACAAAATTACAGTGAGAGGCTGGAGACGACACGTGGCTAAGCCCGGTTTCATTCCGCCCTCCCCCCCGGGGTCCCCAGCCCTGCCAGGTGTGGCCCCCAAACAAGAAAACAGAACCAACCTTGCCTCACCCCACCCCCCAAAAGGAGAGATTCACAGGGCACAATTTCTAAGCAGCTCTTCGTACGTACGGCCCACTGATTCTCACGGTCCCTTCACTGAGTTTGGTTTCCCATGCTACCCTTATGTGGGGAGAGTGTCAGGGATCTCACGGAGTGAAACAAAGGCCGAGCAGCCGAGATGTGCGTCACATTCCCCAGGGGCAACTGGAAACCTTACAAAAACATTTCCTCTGGGGGGCTTGCCAGTGTGGTGGCTCCACTCATCAGAACCCTGGTGTGGGGCACACGCCTGTTCCCACAGTGGCATTCCCCAGGGGGCCCATTTCAAGTCCCTGCACCCAGCACAGCACACTGGAGTGGATGCAGAGGCTACACGCCATCTGGACACTGCCACCAAGTGCCCCCAGAGGGGGCCGTGGCATCCTGAGAGGAAAGGGTGGTGAAGGCGCAGAGAAGCCCTGAGCTTTGAACGGCTCTGTGCAGGCTGTAAGCTGGGGGTTCAGATCATGCAGGGTGGCCCGGGAGAGCCTGAGTCTGGCTGTCCCACAGTGACAAGATGGGGCGATCCGGAGGGCTTGGGCACGGCTGGAGGCACTATGTCCTTGGCACAACTGCTAAAGCACCTGCTTTGCATGGGGCCCACCACTTTGATGCCCTGAACCACACAGGGTGCCCCAAGCACTGGCAGAAGTGATCTACAGAGCCAGGAGTAAGTCCTGAGCACAGCCATGAGCGTACGCAACTGATCTGGGTTCAGTCCTCGGCATTCCTTAGGTCCCCTGAGCACCACCAGGAGTGATTCCTGAGCACAGAGCCAGGAGTAACCCGTAAGCATTGCATGGTGTGACCCAAAAAGCCAAAAAAAAAAGACATGGAATTGGATTTAACCTTTCTCTTCTGACTCTCCTCTCTCCCGCCTCATTTGTTGTAGCTCTTCTCTTTATTAATTCCATCTATTTTCTTGTTTATTTTTCGTTCTGAGTTTTTGGGTCACACCCAACGATGCTCAGGAGGGACCCCTGGCAGTGCTCTGTGGAGCCAGGGATTGAAGTCTAGTCAGCCACATGCAAGGCTTCTCTGGTGCAAGATTTTGCTTCCTTTCCCCCCCTAGTTTCTTTACATGAAGCGGAACCTCCTTTGTCATCTTTATTTGAGTAACTAAGGCTTAAAGGCAGCATCCCCTGCCACCACCACCCCCAAGTTCTCGGTGTCACACAGGCTTGCAATTAATCTGCTTTCTGATTTGGCTTCTTTCTTACCCCTCAACCACATGGCAGACAGTAGCTGAAGTTTGGAGTTGGTCAGGCCTGGGGGCATCTTTCCACATTTCTGAGACTGGGAGCAGTGTTAGAGCAAAGGTGTCCACAGCACCCCAGGTGGCCAGGCCCTGCTCACTGCAGCTTTGCCCTTCTCTTGCCCCCAAGCTTCTGTCTGTCGCTGTCCCTGCATTTCTATCGGGAGTCAGCTGGCTTCTGAATTCTCTTTCCCCATCCGGCCAACAACAGGAACTCCAGGCAGCTTCTGCACCCCCCGAACCCATTTGGCTGTGGGCTGCTACTTCTGATCGCTCGGCAGCTTTAAGATGCTCCTGCTGCAGGCAGCTTCAGGTGAGGGGCCATGCCTGCACCGACAAGCTGCTGCTAGGACAGGGCCCTGACCTTCAGGTTCCTGCTCTGGCCTTGCTCTTTCCAGCCGAGCTCCTGGTCACTCCACCCCTGGAGGCCTCTTTTTTCACATTTTATTTACTTACCCTGTAGATTTTATTTATTTATTTTTTTGCTTTTTGGGTCACACCCTGCGATGCTCAAGGGTTACTCCTGGCTCTGCACTCAGGAATTACTCCTGGTGGTGCTCGGGGGACCATATGGGATGCTGGGGATCGAACCCGGGTTGGCCAGTGCAAGGCAAACACCCTACCCCTGTGCTATTGCTCCAGCCCCCTGTAGGTTTGATTTTAAGGTGCCTTACAGCGTTATTAAGGTCTAATGGGCACACCCCAAGTTTCATTTAACCTATACAACTGTGGGCTATGGGTGTAGTATACAAAGGCGCCACATTCCATACTCGCTTCGAGCTGCCCTCTGAACTCAGGCCTGGCTGTTGGGTCCCAGGCAGTCTTTAAAGGGGCACAGCGGAGACGTCACCACAGTGGCGGTGGCGGGGTAGACCCTACTGACCCCAGGGTCCAAGCTCAATGTGCAGATTAGGGAGAGAAGAGGCTATTGGATAGACGGAAAAGCCAGCTGCAAGAATGTCAGTGCGGCAGGGGCTGGAGTCAGGGAGGTGCCTGCTGACAGGGGCTGGAGATCCGTTTCCGAGGGCCAAGGTGCCCTGCCTCATCACCAAGGGGAAGATCCTCTGGATCGCGCTCAGTGGCCCGGAAGGTCTTTCAAAAGTGAAAACCCGAACTTTGCCTCCTGGGCACTCCTACTTTCCCACGGTCCCAACTCTAGATCCCCAGCGACCCCCCCCCCCCACCGCCCCGTGTTCCCACGACCTTTGCTCCCAGGGTTCCGCCTGCTTGGTTCAACGCTTTCCCAAGACCCCGCCTCCTCATGAACCCCCCAGCTCCCACAGTCCCTATTCCTGGCCGCCCGCACCTACTGCCGCACCCAGCGTTCCCACGGTCACACGGCCTCAGTAGCGCGCTCCCAGGGGTCGTCCCGGGACTACGCGCTAACAGGTTCCCACCTCCCACCCGTACCCCCCCGGCTCCCTATGTTAACAGGATCTCTACCACACTGGCTCCCCACACTGGCGCCAAGCGCGCCCAGGACCATAGCCCTGGGGCCACGCTAAGAGGTCGCATCCCCCACCCCCGTGTGATAACAGGGTCCCACGCCCCCACCAGCCCCCCCCCCCCCCGTGCCACGTGCTAACTGGGTCGCCCCCCCTCCCCGTCACCAGCACCACGCGCTTCCAGAACCCCGCCCCCGGAACTGAGAGCTCCCAGGACCCCATCTCCGGGAGAGCGCTTCCAAGAGTCCCGAGCCCGGCCCTGACTCTGGAGCTCGAAAGGCCCAAACCCCATCCCCGTCCATCCACGTTCTTTGTTCCAAGACCCAGGACCCGGGCCAGGCATCCGTTTCCGTCCTTTGCTCCCGGTGCCCCGCCACGCCCCTTGGCGTCCAGGCCCCGCCCCCAGTACCAGCCCCGCCCCTCGGCCTCTTTGCTCCTGGTACCCTGTCCCCAGCCCCGGCCCCGCCCCCTCGGCATCCTTTGCTCCCGGTTCCACGATCCCGACGCTGGCCCCGCCCCCTTGGCATCCTTTGCTCCCGGTGCCCCATCCCCGGCGCCGAACCCTCGGCATCTTTTGCTTCCAGGACCCAGTGTCGGCCCCGCCCTGGGCATCCTTTGCTCCCTGTACCTCATCCCTGGAATCGGCGCCGACCCCTCGGCATCCGTTGCTTCCGGTTCGGGGCGCCGGCCCCGCCCCCTGGGTATCTTTGCTCCAGGTGCCGGCCCCACCCCTCGGCGT